TCCATGGGCTCATCCTCGCGGAGGAAAGGACGGATTAATTTTGGTCAGAGGTCTCACTACCAAGGAGTCAAGCAATCACCAGATGGCATTAGTCTCAGCCCCCTATGCAGTTTAGGTCAGGTGGGTTCAGCACTCTCCATCTAATCTCAAGCTACCTCATCTCTTCTCATCGTATCTCCACCCTCATTGATGGACCAGTTTGCATTTTGCACCAATTTTGTGCCCACAACTCGGTCAATACACCGCTGCAATCTCCTTTGCGTATAATCTCATTGAGAATTTCAGTTGTTGGGTGTCGTCGTTCTCAGCCATGGCAACGGCTGAAAGATAACTCTAAAGAAACATCTTTTTGGTACTGATCAACTTCCGCCGTGTTAGGACGGTGAATGCAACAATAGCAGATTCTAGGTTTTCTTCTAGTCCAATCAGCTGAGCATGACCGGATGCCACGCACCATGTATCCAGGGCGAAAGATCAAGCCACCAATGAAACGCTGGCAGGCCCGACTTGGAAGGGGAAGCAGAGCTATGTGGGGATGGTAATTAGCAGGATGAGAAGTAACCGTCCAGACAGTTTAAAGATTGTAAAGGCACATCAGGCCGTACCAATGAAAAGACTTTTTGAGCTACGATCAAAACACGCGACGACCACTTCAGGAGAGAGGATAGGTTCGTGCACAAACCTTGAAAAACGATAAGGTCCACCTCAAACCGATACCCCAGCACCTTATATTATGTACTGTAATATTGTACATGATACATGATGTAGGGTCATAAGTTATAAGTATGTCGTTGCAAACGCAACAACACCAAAAAAAACGATAAGGTCCACCTCAAAGCCAACAATGCCCGGATTTTAGTGTAAGAAGACCACAAAGTTTTTGACCGCCCCTCGTATACATGCTGTACGCAGTCCAATGATGCAGAGTGATAGCATTACCTTGGTCCTTTTCTCAGGTGAGAAGATTGTGGCTCTTGAGAACAAGGCGAGGAGGGCTACACATAGAATCTACGAACTGCCCAAATGGCTCACTGTGGTCCCGGCGCCTTTCTAAATTAGTCCGGGGCCTCTAGTGACGCTAGTGGAGGTGAGGTAGGTTAGCTAGGTAGGTAGCTAGTAGCTCGGGAGTTGCTAGTACCGTACTAGTATGCTACTAGTAACTCGACGCAGGATAGCTCACGCTAATGAGTCCGCACCTGTCAGGTGAGGTTTGTTAGATTGTATGTCAGCTGCCGTCCTCCTTCTCCTCCGCCTCGTCCTCCTCCTCCGGACCTCAATCGCAAGTGCAGGATGGCAGAGTTCCCCGCCAGACCTCAACCGCGAGTCAGAAGATATGCCAGATAGAGCGCCAGAAAGAGTGGCAGAAGATATTCCAGAATGAGTGCCCATGATGAGATGCCGGAAAGAATGGCTATGGTCTCCTCAACATCCGGGCCCGTGGGCCCGTGGGCCCGTGGACGGGCCCGTGGGCCTGTGGATGGGCCCGTTCCGGAAGTTCCAAAGGACGATGATAGCATAGCCGTGATGAGGATTAGGATGAGGATGAGGATCCTAATACTTTAATGTGATCCTCTAACGCATGTATGACCATCATACTTTGTAACGACGAACCAGGATGTTCATCCGTACTCTTTCTCGGTCATGAGTAGAACAATACATGAACCAAATTGCAGTCTGTAAATATTTTCGGGTACATTTTCGCTTTGTATTTCTTGAAGGGTGACCTACCCTTGTATAATCTTGTATACATACATCTGCTTTTATCTCATTCTTTCTTCTCTTCTCTGATCCTTTTTTGATCTAATCCTATCTCCTGTCATGTTCCTGGTTGAAGTTTTATAGAAAATGCTTCTTGCGCGGAAGCTTGGTATGCAAAATGTCGCGGGAATGTGCGCTCGGTGAGCTGAGCTCGTGTGTCCTATCTATCCTGCTTGTCCTAGCTGTCCTGTTTACCTACTCTATCTACTCTTTGCAGGGTGACCTATCCTTGTATAGATACATCTCATTTTATCTCACGCTTTCTTTTCCTCTCTGATCCTATTTGATCTTATCTTATCTGTCTATCTCCTGTGGTGTTCCTGGTTGAAGTTTTTTAGAAGATGTTTCTTGCGCGGAAGCTTGGTATCCAAAATGTCGCGGGAATGTGCGTTCCTAGTTGTCCTGTGTACCTAATCAACCTCGTCTTTGCAATCGATCTAGTCTATCGCCTCTACCTGATCTATCTTTTCCTCATCTACTCGATGGAATCCATCTAAAAATCTGTTCCTATCTACCAATCCACGTCTCTTGTCCTTCCGTATCTCAGCTGACCTTTTCTAGTCTGTTGTCATCTGACCCCTTCATGTGTCCAATCTTTCTTATCTCTCCAATGAACCTAGTCTATCTCCTCTATGTAATCTATCTACCTGATCGAATCCATTTATTTATGTACCTATCTACCTTTCCAGGTCGCATAGTTTTCTTACCTTATCCTATGCTATCTTACCTTTTCTAGTTTGTTACATGTCTTATCACTTCCTAGCTTACCTCATCTTATCTTATCTTCTCTCATGCAGTTCTTCTCTTCTCTGATCCTGTTTGATCTATTCATAACTGTCTATCTCCTTTCATGTTCCTGGTTGAAGTTTTTTTGGAAGATGTTTCTTGCACGGAAGCTTGGTATACAAAATGTCGTGGGAATGTGCGTTCGATGAGCTGAGCTCGCGTGTCCTATCCATCCTGTTTGTCCTAGCTGTCCTGTTTACCTAATCGGTCTAATTTAATCTTTACAACCGATCCAGTCTATCGCCTCTACCTGACCTATCTTTCCTCAACCAGTCGATCAAAGCCATCTCTACTCGAGCCACCCGATCGAATCCATCTATAGTTCTGTTCCGATCTACCGATCCACGTATCTTGTCCGTCCGTATATCATCATGACCTTTTCTAGTCTGTTCTCACCTGATCTCTTCATGTGTCCAATCTTTTTCATCTTTCCAATGTACCTGGTCTGTCTTCTCGATGGCATCTGTCTACCTGCTCGACTCCATGTATTTATGTACCTGTCTACCTAGCCAGGTAGCATAGTTTTCTTGCCTTGTCTTTTCCTATCCTACCTTTTCTAGTTTTTTTCTTGTCATTTCCTAGCTTACCTCATCTTATCTCATGCTTTCTTCTCTTCCCCGATCCTGTTTGATCTAATCTTATCTGTCTTGGTATCCAAAATGTTGTGGGAATGTGCGTTCGGTGAGCTGAGCTCGTGTGTCCTATCTATCCTGTTGGTCCTGGCTGTCCTGTTCCCAAAGCATCCGAGATTGAAAAAATTCAATAGAACGATTGATTTTTTGACAAAATCAACCTTCGATTGAAGATTGATTTTTGGGAACCATTTTCAATAGAAATGTCTCCAAACAAAAAACCTATTTCGCTTGAAAAACAAAGACCAAAACGATTGAATTTTCAACAGAGGTTTTTCAATCCTGGACGGCCTCCACTGTAGGTCTCCCATGGGCTGGACAGCCCGAAGTGTCTTCCGAATCGGCTGGACAGCCCCAAGTGTCCAAATGGGCTGGACAATCCCATGCATGCACTCAACATCTGCAGCTGTGCAAGATGCCAAAACAAGGTGGTAGAGGTGGCCCCAGAAGGAACAAAGTTCCTGACATTGATGTGGAGCATTTGTTAGACATTCTCAACTGCTATGTCAGGAAAGTGGGTGTGAAACATGCTTTCTGCTTTGGCAAGTACCACAACCTGACCAGGGAGCAGGCAGTGGTTGCCTCCAGCCTGTGTGACATGGAAGATTTGGTGGCTGACCTGCGCAAGGTCGGCCACAGCCTTGAGTTCAAGTACAGTGATCGGAAGACTGGCCTCAAAGAGACCCTCAGCAGTATCCTGGCATTGTGGAGCTGAGCAGTAAGCTCTCTGAAAGCATCCTTGTCATTTGCAATCATTGCAGGAGGTTGTCCAGGCAGCCTTCAAAATTCCCAGAAGCTTGCAGCAAGGCCTCTCACTTCTTCCAGGTGGGCAAGCTTGAGAGAATGAAGAAAATACTTGTCCCTGAACCATCTGAGCCCAAGTCACCAGGTCTGCCTGTGAAGGCATCAAAGAAGGCCAAGAAAACGCCAGCTTCTCCCAAGTGTGGCTCACCAACTTCTAAAACAGAAGACTTGCTGAACATGGCTATTCCTGCCACAAAGTCCTCATTGGGTGGCAGCCTGCTCGATGAAGCCATGGGGACTGAACCCATTTGTGTGAGGAAAGCTGTTCTTACAGAAGCCATTGCCCAGAAGAAGCCAGCAGCAAAAAGGCCTGCAGCAAGTGCAGAGGCAGTACCATCTGCAACAAAGAAGAGCAAAGGCAATGGCGCCAAAAAGCCACAGGTTGCAGATGATACTTGCTTTGCAGACCACAAGCTCAAACTGATGCCCTACAACCAGACTGGTGCCATGGCAATTCGCATAGACAAGGGCCCCCAGCTGATCCAGATCAAAACAAAAGCAAGCAGGGTGCCAAGCTGTCCAAGGCCTTGGCTGAAAGGCTTCTGGCTGAATTGGGGAATGCCAAGGCTTGGAAAGCTGCAAGACTGGCAAAGGAAAAGTAGCTGGAAGGCTACATGGCTTAATTTGAGGCTTGGCAGGGCTGTATGCAGCCCATAAGACCATGCAAGCTGGCTGACAGCCTAACAAGTGAGGAGATTTGAAAAGAAAACAAGCGCGCAGGAAATTGGGCTGGACAGCCTTTCTTTTTGCAAGTACCCTGGCTGCAGTGGGCTGGACAGCCCACCTTTGTGCAAGCGTGCAGTTCTTTTTTGGTGGGCAATGTTTTTCCAGTGGGCTGCACGGCGTGGACAGCCCCCTTCAAAGCAGTTGTGTGGGCTGGACAGCCCTTTTTGGTGGCATTGGGCGCAGCCCGCCCTTGTTTAGTTTGGCTGGACAGCCACGACAAGTATATGTTGTGTTGCAACTTTGTAGGGCCCGAGCAACTGGAAAGAGTAGCAGGCAGTTCTGGCTTAAGCAGCCATGGATGCCAAAGGGAAAGGAGCAGCTGCCCCTGCAAAGGGGCAGCAAAAGGGAAGGCGCCAGATGCCTATGGGAAAGGTCTTGCAACTCATGACCAGAGGGGTGGTGGAGGGGCCTCTGTGTTCAGAGACAACTTGAGGTGCTTGTGGCAGGGCTACAACCCTTGTGGCAGCTGCTGCAGCCAGTGTCAGCAAGAAACCAGCCACAGCTAGCCAGCCAGTCGAAGAAGTGGAAGGCGCTGAGGGTGACCTCACAGAGGCACAAGTCAAGAGGCATGACCAAATTGAAAGCCTGATGGCTGAGCTGAACGGACTTGATGAAGACAACCTGAAAAACAAGCTTGGTGGGCTAGACAACCTCACCATGATGCTTCTGTGGAAGAGGTTCACGATGAACAGAGAAATGGAAGGTGAAGACCAGAAGTATGCCCCGAGCACAAGTGGGCCTGGCAGCACTGCCAAGAAGCAAATGCTGCTCAGGGCCTGGTTGAAAGATGGTGGCCAGCTGCAAAAACACTACAGGCAGGCAGTGATTGCCTTTGAGCTGAAAAATGTGTCCAAGGAAGGGTACAAGTGGAGGTCTTGGAAGAAGACTTGTGATGACCTGGGTAAAGAGCAAGCCCCACCCTCAAATGGAGAAAATGTCCACAGAACACAAAGTACATGGAGTTTTGCGCAGGAAGCTACCAAGATCAGGAACACTCGGCTAAAGGCTTCCTCCAGCAAGGCCACCAAAGAGGACACCCTGGCAGACTATGAGAACCTTACTTTGGATGACGTCAAGGCTGAAGACAACTGGGGGATCGAAGTGGTGGGAGAAGAGGATGATTTTGCATCCATGGGTCTGGACCCAGACCTCAAGAAATTCTGTGGCTCCAACAAAAACAAGGGCCACAAAGATCCAGAAGACAACCCAAAGAATGAGAAGAAAAACAAATGGGAGCTGACAAGCCAGGTGTCCTCTGCCACCACAAAGCAGGAACTGTCCAAGAAGCTTTTGGCTTTCAAAGCAGAGCTCTGCAAAGAGCAAAGCTTCTTCCAAGCAGCCATGGTTGATGCTGATGACAAGAAAAGCCAAGACTGCAAGCAGGCTGTGGCCATGGTGAAGCTGGCAGGGGATGCCATAAAGCAAGTGGGGCAAGCCCTGACGCTGGATCCAAAAAGGAAGCAGCCAAGAATGCTTTGGTGGCATCCGTGAAGGCTGTGCAAGCCTGCAAGAAGAACCATCCCAAAAAGAAGGCCAAGAAGGAGCCTGAGGCAGGCTCTGATGAGGGTCACCGCACCAGCCAGGATAGGCACCAATGTGCTGGGAGAGCGCAATCATTTTGCACTCAGCTTGGGAAGCTGCCCAGGAAGGAATGATTGCAAAGGCTGGACAGCCTTTTTTCTGACAACTTTTTGAAGATGTAGCTGGACACAGGCTGGACAGCCTTTCTTGTGGTGATGGGTTGGCAGTTCTGCAGGGTGGGCTGGACAGCCCTGTAGCCTTATGTTGTTGTAGGCAAAAGGTTGCAATTTTCAGGTGGCGCAATAGCCTCAAGCTAGGAATATGTCAGAGCCTTGCCCCTTGTGGGTTCTGCTGGTGCAGAAATTTGCACTGGGCACAACAAGTGCCATTGAACTCCAACATTTAGCTGATGCTGCTGTGAAGAGTGGTGCAAGCACACCAGAGATGCTTCAGCTTCAGGGCCTTGGCGCCATGGGCCAGGGAATGTTCACAGAGATTTGCTCAGGAAATGCTTCACACATCTGCAAGCACCTGCCCCATATAAGCTCACATGCCAGATGTCCATGAAAGTGGATGGTGAGAAGTGCCTCACAGAATGTGATTGTTTTGTTCTTTTGCCCCACCAATGGGTGGAATCGCTGCAGCAGGGGGAATTGTTGGTCAATCTGACATGCACTGAAAATGACCTCATCCTTTTCTGGGAGAGCCAGAAAAAGAGCCTAGGACAAATTCCACAATCTTTTTATTTTTTTTGCTGGCGGCCTTGATGCTTTCTTGGCTGCACAGCCCTTTAACCAAGGAACCCTCAGATGACACAACAGCTCTGGAGATCATTGGACTTTGATCGACCAGAAAGTCTCCCCATTCCATGGTGTTTGCATGGTGATGGAGCACCCTTCACAGAGACTGATTCCATACAAGTCATTTCCTTTAGATGCCTTCTGGCATCAATGCCTGTGGGAGACAGCCAGCTCCTTCTAGCTGCAATACCAAAAGCAGCAGTCAGCAAGGAAACATTCAACACCATCATGGAATGCATGGCTTGGTCCTTCACTTCGCTCTATGAAGGCAAGGCACCAAAGAAGAACCATTCTGGGGTGCCCCATGGATGGAGTGAAGGGCAGACCCCTGAGAAGGGGAGTTTTGTGGGCAATCTGGAATGGTTCGCATCAGAATTTGGCTTCCCATACAGCTCAAGCAATATGATTTGTGCATACTGCTTGGCAGACCAGAAGAAGACAGGCAGTGAAAGGCCTTTTACAGACTGCAGGCCAACCGCTCCAAGGCCTAGTCACTCTGAAAACCCAGGAGAAGCCAAGATGCAGCTTCTGAACAAGAAGATTGCTGAGATGTATGGCAAGTTGGGCATAGAAGCTGCCAAAAGAATCAAGCACCTGACCCTCAATGATGTGGCATCATCTGCAGAGGAGTGCCCTGCGCTCAAGCATATCAAGGGGAACAAGATTCGACACTTCGCCCCAGTGGCTTTGGAGCTGAGTAAGCTCCATGCAGATGACAGGGCAGGGCAACACAGAGTTGCAACGCTGGAGGAGTTGCAGAGAATCTACACACTGCTGGACAAGAATTGGAAAGAGTGGTCTCCAGAATGTGGTATTGCCCTGGAAAGGGCAGGACAAGTTCTCCTTGCACACTACTCATGGCTTGCCAACGATGCCTTTGAAAAAAGGTTTGCGTCGATATTCTCTGGTGCAGAAGCACCACAAATTGAATCACCTTCTGGCACAAGCCCATCATATCCATCCAGCCAGCGCATGGTGCTATGGCTCAGAGAGCTTTATGGGCATCATAAAGCAGATATCATCCAGCTGCACTTGGGGCACACCAGCTCACAAAGTGACTGGAAAGGTGCTGATGAAATTCAGGCTGGTTTTTCATCTACTCCTCAAGGCGTACAGAAATCTGGATATCATCGACTCGGCAGAAGAGTGAGAAAACATTGCCTTGCTGCGCTGCAAGTTGGATTGCCATGGGCTGCAGACTAGGCTGGACAGCCCTGACTTGTTTCCATAACTATTTGCTATGTGGGCTGGGCAGCCCTCGTTTGAGCTTGTGGGCTGGACAGCCCATGAAGGCTGGACAGCCTTAACTTGTTTCCATAAGTACAAGCTTGTGGGCTGGACAGCCCAGTTGCACTTGTGGGCTTGACAGCCCCAGAGAAGACCTCATGCATGCCAAAAATTTTGAAATGACACAAACAAGTAGAAAACTAGGACAAAAACGATTGAATTTTAAAACCAATTTCAATTGAATTTCAAAAGCATAAATTCGATTGAAAAAAATCGATTGAATTTTGCACAAACTCAATCTTCGATTGAAAAACTCTATAGCGATTGATTTTTTCAATCTCGGATGCTTTGGGTTTTCCTAATCGGTCTAATCATTACAATCGATCCAGTCTATCGCCTCTACCTGATCTATCTTTTCCTCGTCTAGTCGAACGAATCTACTCGAGCTACCCGATCGAATCCATCTGTTCCTATCTGCCGATCCACGTGTCTTGCCCTTCCGTATCTCATCTGACCTTTTCTAGTCTGTTCTCATCTGATCTCTGCATGTGTCCAATCTTTCTCATCTTTCCAATGCACTTAGACCTAGTCTAACTTCTCTATCTAATCTGTCTTCCCGATCGATTCCATCTCCCGTCCGACCTCTCAGCGTACCTTTCCTTACCTTACCTCATCTCATCGTATCTGATCTTACCTTAACTTATCATACATTTTCTAGCCTTTTGTTTTATCTCGCCCTAGCTTGCTTTATTTTTCTTCAATTTCTTTTCTTATCTAATCTAATTTGATCTTATCTCTTGTGTCTCTCCCTTTTCTTGTCCCTGGAGCTCGTGCGCGACAACCCGTGGGCCGTTGGGCCCGTGGGCCCGCGGATGTTGAGCGGACCCTTCTCGAAAGAATGTCAGAAGATGTGCCAGAAAGAATGCCAGCAGAAATGCCAGACTGAATGTCCGAAGAAGTGCCAGAAGCAATGTCAGAAGATATGCCGGAAAAATACAAAAAAGAATCTCAGATGAAAGAATGTCAGACGATATGCCAGAAAATATGTCAGAAGATATGCCTGAAAGAACGCCGAAATACTGTTTCAACACACGCAAGAAAATTTGTCAGATTGAAGTGCCATGGTGGGGATCACCCCAAGTAAAGCAACTTGGTTCCTAGATTGTATGGAAGGTTAAAGCAGTATAGTTTTGGAGGTTTCAGCAACTTGCGGCCAGCTCCAGAGGTCCAGCTCCAACAGGATCAACTCAAGAAGCTGCGGGCTGCACCTTGGCTGACCGAAGGAAGCTAGCGTTGGAGTTTTGTGCGGTGAAGGTTGGCCCATGCTAGTGGCACAAATTTTGGTGGCCCGTAAGGGAGGTTGCTTGCTAACTAACCATGGCTGGCCATGATTTTTTCACAATCCAGTCAGCAGGTTGCCGTAAGGACGGATCGAGCACTTTGCATGAACGTGAGTTCAATTGCGTGTACATGAGTCATGACACTGATTAGCTGAGGCTCGGGACAGCATTGTGGCATCACAGCAGGCCGGCCGATCCAGGTTGTAGAGCAGTTTAATAGCGATCATATAATGCATGCTTAAATAGACAAAAACATATAATTACAACTGCACATTCGTGAGCACAAGGAAAGGCATATAGTACTTTGATGACTTTCGTAGGTTGCGATCAAGGTCGGTGATGCTATTGATTTCTAGGAGCTTCATGGTGCTGACGGCAGGACCCGCCAATGGCTGTGGATGACGAAGACATTATCTCGCCGCGGCAGATGATGTCCGATAGGCACCAGCAACTGGTTTCGTTTCTACTTGAAGTTTTTTCCCGAATGCGTAGCGAAGGGTTCTCGTTTAACTCTTGGGGGTCTGGGGGTAGAGCCTTGTTCGCGACCCGTTGCTTCTATGTTCGCAACCGTCCGCAACCGTCCGCAACCGTTCGCAACCGTCCGCAACCGTCCGCAACCGTTCGCAACCGTTCGCAACCGTTCGCAGTAGAGCGCTAAGGCGCTGCCATTGGGGGAAGCTTTTGCAAGTGACTTTTCATGGATGTGTCACGTGTCAGTTTGCGTCGCTATTATTCCATTGTGATTTGCATGAAAATGAGATGTCGCGCAAGAAACGTGATGCGTTTCGCTGCACAGGCGCAGCGTTTTGTGAGATCGGCAGATTGCTGCGCAGTTCCATTGGGACTAGCGTTTGGAGAGTCGTGTTTTTGGGGTGTTGGATGTGGCCGTGCCATTGGGATTTGCGTTTCAGGGTGTGGCGTCGAAGCTCTGTTTTCGTGACAAGTCTCAGCTGAAATTCCGATTTTGGTGGATGGGAGTGTGCTCAGAACGGGTCGAAATCATTGCAAACGTGTGGTGGTGCAAATTTTGTTGAAGCTCACATGAGATGACATTGTTACTTTTCGTGGCAGGCGCAGTACTTTGTGCGGGTTTTGAGGTGTGGAAGTGGGATTTTCGTGGCAGGCGCAAGGAACCGTGAGGTTGCGATGTGTGACGGAGGTGACATTTCGTGGCAGGCACAGTACTTTGTGCGCGTTATAGACGTGTGGACGCGGAAAGATTCGTGGCAGGCGCAGGGAATCGGGAGGTTGTGAGTTGTGGTAGAGGTGAATGTCGCTGTCGCATTGGGATTGGCGTGTGAGCGGGTGTCGTTTGGAGGGGCTGGACTCGCGAAACTGCTTGGCAGGGCTGCGTGATGTGTGTGCTCCGATGGGTGTTTCCGCTGGACTTTTGGAGGAAGTCTCGTGCGAAACGTTCGTTTTGCAGACTTTGACATGTGAGTTTTTGAGGAAGTCTCGTACGAAACGCTCGTTTTGGGGACTTGACATGTGACTTTTTGGAGGAAGTCTCGTACGAAACGCTCGTTTTGGAGACTTGACGTGTGACTTTTGGAGGAAGTCTCGTAAGAAACGCTCGTTTTTGAGACTTGACGCGTGACTTTTGGAGGAAGTCTCGTACGAAACGCTCGTCTTGCAGCCTCGCAGCGTGACTTTTGGAGGAAGTCTCGTACGAAGGGTGTGCCCTACACCACAAGAGTGTCCTACAAGAGTGTCCCACAAGAGTGTCCTACAAGAGTATCCCACAAGAGTTTCCTACAAGAGTGTCCCACAAGAGTGTCCCACAAGAGTCTCCCACAAGAGTCTCCTACAAGAGTGTCCCACAAGAGTGTCCCACAAGAGTCACAAGAGTGTCCCGTATGAGTGTCCCACAAGCGTGTCCCACAAGACAAGTGTCCCACAAGAGTGTCCCGTATGAGTGTCCCACAAGTGTGTCCCACAAGAGTGTCCGACAAGAGTGTCCCAAAAGAGTGACCCACAAGAATGTCCTACAAGAGTGTCCCGTAAGAGTGTCTCACAAGTGTGTCCCACAAGAGTGTCCCGCAACCATGTCCCACAAGAGTGTCTCACAAGAGTTAAGAGTGTCCCACAAGAGTGTCCTATAAGAGTGTCCCACAAGAGTGTCCCACAAGAGTGCCCTACAAGAGTGCCCCACAAGAGTGTCCTACAAGAGTGTCCCACAAGAGTGTCCTACAAGAATATCCCACAAGGGTTTCTACAAGAGTGTCCTATAAGAGTGTCCCACAATAGTGTCCCACAAGAGTGTCCTACAAGAGTGTCCCAGAAGAGTGTCCCGCAAGAGTCTCCCAAATGAGTGTCCCACAGGAGTGTCCCACAAGAGTGTCCCGTAACAGTGTCCCGCAAGAGTGTCTCACAAGAGTGTCCCTTAAGAGTGTCCCACAAGAATGTCCCACAAGAGTGTCCCGCAAGAGTGCCCCAAATGAGTGTCCCACAGGAGTGTCCCACAACAGTGTCCCGCAACAGTGTCCCGCAAGAGTGTCTCACAAGAGTGTCCCTTAAGAGTGTCCCACAAGAGTGTCCCGCAACAGTGTCCCACAAGAGTGTGTCCCACAAGAGTGTCCCACAAGAGTATCCCACAAGAGTGTCCTACAGGACTGTCCCACAAGAGTGTCCCACAAGAGTATCCCACAAGAGTGTCCTACAGGAGTGTCCCACAAGAGTGTCCCACAAGAGTTTCCTACAAGAGTGTCCCACAAGACTTTCCCACAAGTGCCCTACAAGAGTGTCCCACAAGAGTGTCCTACAAGAGTGTCCCACAAGAGTGTCCTACAAGAGTGTCCCACAAGAGTGTCCCACAAGAGTGTCCCACAAGAGTGTCCTGCAAGAGTCTCCCACAAGAGTGTCCCACAGGAGTGTCCCAAATGAGTGTCCCACAGGAGTGTCCCACAGGAGTGTCCCGCAAGAGTGTCTCACAAGAGTGTCCCACAAGAGTGTCCCACAAGAGTGTCCCACATGAGTGTCCCAAATGAGTGTCCCACAGGAGTGTCCCACAGGAGTGTCCCACAAGAGTGTCCCGCAAGAGTGTCTCACAAGAGTGTCCCTTAAGAGTGTCCCACAAGAGTGTCCTGCAAGAGTGTCCCACAAGAGTGTCCCAAATGAGTGTCCCACAGGAGTGTCCCACATGAGTGTCTCACAAGAGTGTCCGTTAAGAGTGTCCCACAAGAGTGTCCCGCAACAGTGTCCCAAAAGAGTGTCCCACAAGAGTGTCCTACAGGAGTATCCCACAAGAGTGTCCTACAAGAGTGCCCCACAAGAGTTTCCTACTAGAGTGTCCCACAAGAGTGTCCCGCAACAGTGTCCCACAAGAGTGTCCCACAAGAGTGTCCCGTAAGAGTGTCCCACAAGAGTATCCTACAAGAGTGACCCACAAGAGTGTCCCACAAGAGTGTCCTACAAGAGTGTCATTTGGACATATGTAGCTTTTTGAACGTGTTTGCATTCGGGTTCGTGGGCTCCATCTTGTTTTTTAATAAAGAGAACTCGACTCATAGAAAACCAAAGACCCAATCAATTTGATGATGTTTGTCCTTTACACCTTTTTTGCTCACAGTCTTCAGCCGTTTAGGCAATGCCGATTTCTTTCAGCACAGCTCCGCATACTCTTGCGGCACTCCCAGGAGGTTGGATGCCTAGGCTGAAAGACCTGATCTGAAACGGACCCAGGACTCATCACGCATTCTTGAATCCCCACGCGTGATTTGCGCAGACAAACCACAGCGAGTAGCGGCTACCCGCTGCTGAACAAAGCACTCACTTTGCTGAGTTGGAGCAGCTGCTGGACACTGTGCAGCCTGGAAGCGAGGCCGTTGAAACAAGGCGGGAGATGGCCAATTCAATGAACAGTTCACCCCAGGATGGAATGCTTGCTGTATTGTTTTTAAACCTTCTCAAAACTCTTAGCGGCACGGGAAAAGTGTCACAAGCCCTTGCGAATCGTGGCAGCAAGTTCCGCGCCGTATGTGGACCAACTCATGAGCTCCGAGGCGAAAGCAGTCCTTGCAGCGAGTGCATGAGGAGGGGAAGCGCGTTTTTGAGGAAGTCTCGGAGAAGCTCTACACTCTGGAGGCTCCATATGACTCTGTGGGACTGAGCTAACAGGCCTCGAAAGCTACCGAGGTAGATTTGTCCGGAGGTTGAATTCATATCAATTCATTGTACATCGGCGGCCGATGGTCGATGGTAGAACAAGTTTCATTGGATGATTTAGATCATAGGCACATAGAGCAAGAGATCAGTACGACTGTTAGTGTATTGTCGTTGACAATTGCATGCTCTTTGACAGTCTACTTTAGAGATGTACATATGCTGCCTGGTCAAGGGCTTTATGATTTTTATGGCAGAAGGCTAGCGGGCAGCCCATGTGATGGAAGGTTCAGAAGAATGATGTCGACGAGGAGGTGGGTAGATTGCAGGCTGGAACTTGTGTCAAGATATCCACAATGTTTACAAAACCTAAACCTGTGGCAAGCAGGAAGATCCTCGTGACAGCTCAATGTGAAGCCGTTTAATGTTTCCTCCTCTAGCCGCCAGTGGTGGGAAAACATCACCCGTTGCATCTCTCCGGAGGCACTGGTGGCCGATCTGGAAAACCAGCTGGCATCAGTCACTTGGCTGAAAGATGCTGAAAGTTTAGCATGCAGTGGTTCAGCGAACGGAGTTCGATGCAGGGTTCGTGGCGAACGGTTCGGCGAACGTGACTGATGATTCAGAAACGGACCATCAGTGTCCAGTATGTTGGGTGTGATGGAGGGGCTTGACATGCTGTGAATATCACATATAATGTGGATAATGTTGATAATTACTGTAAATTAAGTTGAACAAGAAAGTTTGGTGGATCAACCTAGAAGGAGTTATATAGTTATATAATTACTGATCTAGTGAAGTCCAGTTTTGTATCCCGAATGTTCTTTTCAATGTGGTCCACTTTTCCTCTCTACCTCTCCAGGTGAGACGCCAGCGTGACGAGCTACAGCGCTATAGTGCCTCCGCCAGCACAGGCCACCCGGAAAGCACAGGCGGGGCGGGGCTGGGTTTCCCGAGCGGACCGTCGTGGAAACCCACCTCTGGACGAGCAACGACCCAGCATAGGAGACGTGTTTTGAGCAAGGCAAGAATAATCCACCATAGTGACGGCCCTTGCTACTTGTACAAGAATTGCCATGAAGAAAGAACACGTTTGTCAAGGACGGACAAGGGCAGGACTGCAGGGATAATTTCTTTGATTAGGTGAACTGAAGTTGAGTTTGTGTTTTGGGCTCGAGCTTGTGGTTGAGCTAGGGGCTGATGGCCTTTAGAGCCCACTGTGAAGGATTCACTTGCAATGCAAGTTTCCCATCACTGGTTATGATGTGCAGCAGGCTTCCACACCAACTACTCGCCACATGGGGGCTGGCCAAGACACCTTTAATTCCTTAACTTATATACCATCAGTGATCCATCAACCTGCTCAAAGTATATACTAGGGGAGCCTCACAGAAATAGCAACAAAAGTGAAGCGTTTGCTCTTCCTGGCATTTCTCCTGCTTTCTTTACTTTCTTGCGTCTTCTCCTCATGTGGCGTACTATTTCCCTGTTTTAACTGTTGTTGCTTTCTATGGCCTTTGTTGCCGTTGCTTTTATTGGTTGCTTTTGAAACCTTGAGTTTGTGTTGCTTTATTATTATTATTATTGTTTTATAGCTTTCCATATGTCTCTCTCTCTCTATATACTTTTCCTTCTCCTTTCAACTCTACTGGTTGTTGTGTTTTGTTTCACCTTGAGGGTCAGCCCAAGTGCATCATACGAACATGTTTTTTCAGTTGTTACTCCCTACTCCATCATGATGCACTTGTCTCATGTTTGTTTGTCCTGCGGCCGGACTTTTTGCTTTTGCCTGGCAGTCAGGTCACGGGCCCTAGACGCCCTGAAATAATCATGCACATGTTAGTCGCCTCCTGGACTCCAGGACGGCTACTGTATTTCTTCTACAAACAGCTAGCTTTCCACTTCCACTGGAGGAACTATACTATAAAACCACGACCGCAAAAAGACTTCACCAAACATAAGCGCAAACGCTCCTGGTGAGGTCCTGAGTTGGTGCCTGGTGTGGCCGTGGGCCGCAGCTCAAAGGCCTTCACTGCGACATCTGTGAAGTGCTCAGAACGGAGCCGAGTGTGAAGGGTTTGCCAATCGTTAAACCATCTGAGAATTGGAGGAAAAAGACCAGTGAAGACATCTGAAGACTACTTTTGAGACATTGTGCGCATGTTTTTGTGCTGATTGTGGCTTTTGAGTCACTAGCTGCTCAGACCTTGAGACACTTTTGGTTCATGCAATTTGAGGTCACCTCTGACACGCGCTCAAGAGCATCCTTGGACTCGCCCCTACAGAAACCAGGTAGCTGCGTGGGGGTGGACAGAGTGTAGTCCCAATTTCGGTTGTTGGATGGAAGCTCCTTTTGTGGTTCCTTTCCCTATGACATCCCTTTTGCAATGTGACATGGGTGTCCTTAGGTGGCACACTTGGTACGTAGAAGATGTTGCAGACATACGTAGGCCAACACGCTATCCTTTCTCCGGAAACATGGAACACATCTTGAGCGCAGAAGGCCATTAGTTGATTCAGTCAGAAAGGGGAAAGTGGACTCCTTCATTCATTGTGGCCCCAATTTGGAAAATGATCATGATGCTGTGCCAGCGTGTCCTTGATTCCCTCGTCAAACTGCGATCACACACACAAACACACAAACACATGCACAATGCTTTCTGACTAATATAGTTGGGGGTCGCACGTCGAAGGATGCGATTGCTTTGGCACCATGATTCCATATATATAATATATATATATTGGATCAGATTGGGCATCGGGAGTATTTGGGGACCACCTAGTGAAGGGGGGTTCGTTCAATTGAATCCTTCTAGTGAACAGAGAGCTGTTCCTTGGGCCTGCGCAGGCACCGCGCGCACCAGCAGTGGTCGTCTCAGTAATTTCATTGCTTGGTGATGGAAATTCGAGATTCCTGTCTAAGAGGTGGTTGGAACCGGAACCGAACCTTGTAATGTTTGGTCATGGGTCAACCCTGAACTCTTTGTTCTGCAAAGTTCGGTGACAATTAATGTTGACTGCAGCTTTGCAGGGTCAACACAGTGGTCCCGGAATGCTTGGACCGGAAGTTGACTTCCCTGTTGGGTCAAGGCTCAGATGCTGTGGCCTTCTTTGGCACAGGCCTTCTTCAGCATTCAAGAATCATGGCACATTGGTCATGTGGCCTTTTGGCATTGCTGGTCGTAGACCACCCAATCATTTTTGCAATTGTTCAGTGATCTAGTTTCAAGCTCTCTAGAATGTGCATTTCAGTCGGAGTCTAACATAATCTAACTAGCATATGTGGGGTGTTATGGTGCTGTATGGTGCTGGTACTTGAATGCTTTGATGAAAGGCTCTCGGTCCCCCTCGGAGCTGCGGAGCTCTCCAAAGGCCAACATCGTCCAGAGCTCAGGGCTTCGATCCAGTGGGGCCCACTTTATATATATATATATTCACTTCGGGCGAAGGAGGACAAGGAAAATACGCTTCAGATCCCTATATATATATAATTACAGGAGTAATCAGTTGTAGTATGTTGCAGTGAAATTCGTGTTCGTTGTTGCTGACCTTCCGGACCAGATGGACTCATGTTGGGCAGTTTGTTGCTTGTGATTGATGTTCCAGATGTCAACATTCACCATGCAAAGAAGTGAAGTCCCGCTGCTTGTAGACACACAGAACGATGTCGAGCCAGGGTATGAAGGTGCTGGCTCCAGCTTTCATCGTGGGGTCCTCAAGCCGAGTTTTAGGTGCGTTTAGGTGGACATTGGATCTTCCAATCAACTCCACATGCCTTTGGTGCAACAACTTGAAGAGGGACGGAAGACAGATGTGGAAGGCTGCCGAGACATGCAAGCATCCGGAGTCTTGCAACTGTTTGCATTGTTTGCCATTTTGTGAGCAGGACAGACTGCCCGCGCCTCTTGTGCTTGTCCCAAGACCGGCGCGCGTGCGGTGAGAAGCAGGTTCTGCAGAGCCAACGCGACTATATGACAAGATGGTTCAACACATGGGCCAGTTGATGCCCGAACAATCCAAGCTGCAAAAAGCATCCACAAAAACACGTTCGCTCCGTAGGCTGTAGTGGTGACCCTCTCTTCAGGCCTTGAATGCAATATTCAGGCTCTGTAGGAGCACTGCAAGTGATGCAAAATGGACCTTGAGCCATGGGCGGCCTATGGCTTGGAGCTGCAAGACTTGGGTCCCAAAGGCGTGAAGTGAGGTGATTCACGAAAGAACTGGTTCCCCTCCACAAATCGGATCACATCGGGCAGCCTGGCGAGGAGTTTCAAGTTGAGTGGAAGGCACACATAGGCATTAGGCATACACTAAAAATTTATGTAACCCAACCCCACTGGGGCCACTAGCAAGGGGTGTCATGATGTTTGCAGGCTCTTTACCAGAAATGCACCATTTAGGGATTTCAGCAGACATGGAATGGACCTGAGCGGGTGCTCCCCCCAAGCTGGGTACGTGCAGGTCGAGGTCTGGTTGCAGGGAAAGACTTTCGCTGCGGGGATGCTTGGAGCCAAAGGAGCCCCATGGAGGGATCAGTTTGTGGATCTAGTGCATCAGGTGGCCAACGACATCAATTTGTTGATCGATTTTTAGTGATCAATGACTTTTAGAGACCTGGCCAGTGCAGCATGAGACTTTGAGACTATTCAGTGAGGTTTATTCCAGCAGCACGACACATGTTCATATTGACACTTGGACTAACAGAGGTTATGGATTCAAGAACTGTTTCAAAATCTTGAATCTCGGATCCCGCATGCAAGCGTTTTGAGCATGTAGTGATGCATCCGCGTTGAAAATTATGATCGGCATGCCGCTTTTCTGAGGAAGTGCTTTTCCGCGAGAAAGGCTTCCGCGCCAAGAGCCCGGAGCATTTGGCGTTAGAGGTTTTAGCTTCCGCCGAGGCGAGGTCGTGGGTGAGTCAGACATCAATGCACTACTGGGGAGTGCGGGGTGGTGCGGAACACTGCAGGACTATCAGGATTGTGTCCATCGAGAGGATTGTGACCTTGGGGTTCCTCATTAAAGTAAGTGGAGAATTGCGTGAATCACATTGACTGGGAAACACCTCACACGGGGGGGCCTTGCTTTGCCTCTTTGCTTTGCGAAGAGCCGTCTGACAGGCCCGCGCACAAGTCTCTCACCTTCACACAGGTCCACTTTGCCACTTAGAAGGTGAGACAGACGATGAGAAGTTCAGTCGGGCCGTCGCCTGACACAGAGATGGGAAAGTTGTGGAATGAAACGCAGACGCAGAGTATGTGGACAGATGGAGAGTGGTGTGTGTGTGTGTGCACCAGTTTTGACTGAGTCACATGACAGAAGCATTCTGACGATTTAATTCCACTTTGGAGTGTGAAAAATACCAAGATGATCCAGAAGGGAAAGAGACTGGATGATTGAAACAAAAGCCAAGAGATGCCAAGAGTTTCATCAAGTGAACATTCCACCACCATAGCTAGGTATGCCACAGTCAACATGTTTGAGTTGTCTTTGCTGTGGGTGCAAGGCCATTACCTAGACCTGCAAATGTACCCAAACCGACTTGCAAGGCCATGCCGGAACCTTGCCCCACGGAGTTTCCGAGGAAGCTCCTCGGCCTTTCCGGGGTGCTGGAGGATGATGATGCAGGCGGCTATTTGATTTGTCCAATACGTAAGAAGTAAGTCTCAAACATCAGGTATGGGTGGAAGATGGTGGAAGAGTGGGTGGAAGCTGGAAGGAGTTGTTCCAGGTTGCTTCGATCTTCCAACATCCAGAAAATGTTGAATCTTTGTTTCATTTGGCCCATTTATATAATAATCCAATCGAATCCACTGACATGATTACCTACTGTAATAAGTTCGGATCCTGCAACAAAATTGTGGAAAGAGGCTGAATCCTCATCCTGCTACTGTGAAGTACATGAACTTAAACGGGTTTGTATGCCGAGAGGTTTTGAGCCGTGTATCCAAGGAGTGGTTTGATGCGTATTTCGTCAGCAATGGCCTCCTTATGGCAGTTGCAGGTGGTATCCAGAATTATTATTGGAGTATATTGGGGTGATATGCACAACATATGCGCAACATGTCTACTGTCTGCTGTAACTTCTAAAACTCTACAATCTATGGACTGGAATTCCAATGCTCTTGCCTCTAGGAAGTTTGGCGACTTGGCCTCCTGACCCCATAATTGTTGCCCCTAACATGTATACATCCCTAGTTAGTGACATGGCAGTACCTTTGATAAATAAGGTGGGGTCTTTCATGCTCTATCACATGCACCCTTGAAACAAAGTCAATATACTGCAAGGAGTTCGCCCAAAAGCACTTGCTATGTGTTGCAACTTGTCGTAGATTCCTGCCCTGGCCCGGACCTTCAGTCTCCCCGGCTGCCGAGCCGGCTGCGTATTCCAAGGTATTCTAAGGTGCGTTTCAACTCTTTCGAGCTGAATGGCTGTTGCTTTCTGCCCATCATGGCGCTCTTCAACCACAGCTGCGCGCCCAATGCTGCCATCACCCAGCTGCCCCCGCATGAGGAGAGTGCACCACCTGCAAACTTTGCAGTGAGCAGCATGATTGCCTGATTCCTGGAAGGAGTGCCATACAGCTATGGTTGTTGTAGCTGAGCAGGGCATAGCCAGAGGTACGGAGACATTTGCACGCAACAAGAGGGGTTGTGTGAATGTTTGTGTTGTGTGGCTTCAGATGGTGCAAGGCAAGTCAAATCATCAGCCAACCCAGACACGATTGTGGCAAGCAAGCGTCACACTCCCATTGTCCCATTGGTGGCTTCAATGCCAGACTTGTTTGTGTGAATGAAGTTGAGCTCAGGATTGTTTACAGCTACAACTCAGATTGCCTTTTTGTGCTTCCCTGAGCTCAATCACTGGAGCGGCTTCTGTGTGAGCTTCACGAAAGGCTCTCAGTTGAGCTTCGCAAAGTCACTGCCCTATTGCACCCATTGGGTGCACAGAAGCTGACACTGGAACCAATGTAAGGGATTCTGCCTGATTTTGTTCACTTGGTTTGTTTTCCTGCTTTGATCCGAACACTGTAGCCATACTGCTGGTGTAAAGGCTGCTTTGACTGGTGTGGGCTTACAATTTTACAGCCCAGGTGCCCTTGCGCGAACGGCGCAAGCGCTTGCTGTCCAACTGGGGCTTCCTTTGCAAATGCAGTAGATGCCAAGTCGAGGACAACAGCGGACATGTGAATGTTTTGTGCTTTATTGCTGGCTTCGCCCAAATGAGGGTCGACCTAGAAGCTGGGCGTCAGTGTTCTGGGCGTCAGTAAAGATCGCAGCGTGTGAGGAGGAAGCCGGGCTGGAAGACGACGAAGAGGCTGGATGGATCAAACACGATCGAATTCCACTGTAAGACTGTAAGGTTTCGTTCTTCTTAAACCTAGGCTAGCCTAGGTTTGTCTTTCGATTTGTTGACGCCCTCAACAGCCTGAAGCCTCCGTCAGGAGCCACCTGAGATGCCCCAGCTGCTCTCGTGGGAAGAGGTAGACTTGAAGAATGTGAATCTCTTCCAAGCCCGACATGAGGCCCGTTTTGCCGGTACAGTAGCAATTTGGACCTGCCGGCTGCCATAAGAATAAAACGACCACTCTAGTAAAATAATTAGCTATGTTGTTGCGGGACGGGCGTGAGACAACTAAACTCCGCAGAGGCAGAGAGAGGGAGAGGGAGAGAGAATCTCATCAAAGGCAACAGAGCTTTGCAGGGCAGGGCGGTCCGTTAAGCGGCTTGATGCAGTGGCTATTTTAGTTCTTCGTTTTGGAATGTGACTATGTTTGCCCTCACATGGGCCAGCCATCTAGGATCCAGTCTCATCACCCTTGACGCCTCCGCAAAGGACATTCGACGCCATGAAGGGCTCACCCATTTTCATGTTCGAAATGATCGCTTTGACTGAAATGAGGAATCACATGTCTAAATCAATAAAGGAGAGAAAACTGGTTGCTTAGGCCTTGTCTCAAGGTGCTTCATCATCCAGGGATCCCCTTTTCGGAGCGCAAACAGATCTTCAGTGCACAGCTGGCTGCGGCAGTACAGCTTGCTCCCTGAGCTTCAGCGGAAATTAAGGATGGTCTATCAAAACGTCCGCCACACGCATATGCCTAGTACATGATACATGATACATGTTTTTCGAGTGTCCCCAATGGCCTAAGGACCCCAGTCTAGAATGTTCGACTTGTTGGTTTCATGGTTGCCGCGGTTTGCCTTGAAATCCTTCTGCCAATCTGAGATTTGCATCCTTCCCTCGGGACGATTTATGCCCCTTGGAGTAAGCTTGGAGCCCTCAGAGTCAGCCGTCAGCATGCAGTGTTTCATCTCTGGATCATGGGGGCACGTGAAGTGATGTTTGCTTCTGAAATGATGCTAATGATGCAGAACCTTTGTGCTCAATGCAATATTTGGGAGGTTGGGGACTCACGGAATTGAATTTGTATAGACCCTTCCGAGACCCATCCTTTTAAAGGTGTGTTCTCAAGGGCAGCAAGCACAAGGCAGACTGCCATTGCATTGGCTTCAAAGCAGGTTGCAGATATATAACATAATGGTCTTTGATGGACTGACATGCATATATAACCCTAACAGATAGTACATCATTGATATGTAATTTACTATATAGTCAAACAGTCAAAACACAACAATTTTACACATTATGTAGATGATATAGCTGACGTACCTCTACATGTTCTTGAAGACAGTTGCGGCTCAGGAGGAGCTGCATGATCTTTGCGAGGCCTCCAAGCCCCATACGCATGCAGAGAAGGCGTGGTCGGGAAGTGGCCCCCTTTGGCCCGAAGCACGAAGGCTCCAAGGAGCACAAGTTGAGCGAAAGCTAAAAATCCAGTTGCCGGTCGCTGGATTGTTGTTGTTGTTTTATTTTTTGTTAATCATTGTTGTAATATATTTTTTTGATGTTGAAGGCCTGTCTAAAGACCAATCTTGTCGTGGAAGTTCGTGAAGAATTGGATTTCTTGAGGTTTTTAGTGCGGGTATCCAGAATAGCCTTGCCTTTTTGACACGACCTTGCCCGCAGTCAATCATTCTTCTTGTCACCGGCGATCTCCTCCAAGCTCAAGGGAGGATGAGGGGACGCCCTGAAGCCGAGACAACCACACCAGGAAGCAAGTCTCAAGCCAGATCAGACACTTTGAAGCCTACATAACTACGGCATAGGTATCAAAAAAAATAAAAAGAGCATCAAAAACAAAATAAAAACAGGATCAAAAACATTTAAAAAAAGCGAATCCAAAAATAAATATTCCTTGATAGGCCTCTTCTGCTGCTCTCCTGGCCTTGTGGTTTGCGGGTCCTCTGGTAATGTGGTCCCTTGGTCCTTTGGTCCCTTGGTCCTCTGGTCCTTTGGTCCCCTGGTCCCTTGGTCCTTTAGTCCACTGGTCCCCTAGTCCTCCGGTCTCCTGGTCCTCTGGTCCTGTGGTCCGCTGGTCCCCTGGTATCCTAGTCCTTCTGTCTCCTGGTCCGGTAGTCTTTTGCTCTCCTACGGCGCTCGTCTGTCGATCTCCTGGTCCCCTGCTTGCGCAAATAGAGGCTTGATTGCTTTCTACTAGAGGCAGCTCCCTGGGAAGAAAGTAGGTACCCAACGATAAGGTCGCCGTCCAGTCATTGAGTAGCCCTACTCGAAAAATGGTTCACCAGTGGAAATAGCTCCCTACTAGGAGGGAGCTCCTGGGGAGGTACACTCTCCTAGGGAGGGGTATTTATTTTTGGATTTTTTTTGTTTCTTTTTTTGTTTTTTTTGTTTTTCGTGGCTTCTGGCTTCTGGCTTCTGTGGCTTCTGGCTTTTGTGGCTTTTGGCTTCTGTGGCTTCTGGCTTTTGTGGCTTTTGGCTTTCGTGGCTTTCGTGGCTTCTGTGGCTTTTGGCTTTTGTGGCTTTTGGCTTTTTGGCCTATCCATCTATCTGTCTATACCTATCTATTTATCTATCTATCTATCTTTCTTTCTTTTGGCAGCTGTTCTCCTTTCTCTTTTTGTATTTGCTTTTCCTGTTGTTTTCGTTGCAGAGACGAAACCAAACAAGGAAGCAAGCAAGCAAGCAAGCACGAGCTGCTCACCTTTGGATCTGGTGTGCTGCTGGGGGGGGCGCTGCGCCCCCCCCAACCCCCCCCTGCGCCACGAAATCTGCACTTCATCCCCGACACCCGCGCCTGCTGCGAAATCAATATTTTAAGGTGAACTCCCCGGTGCAAAACTTTCTAACCAAGCAAACATCTATCTATCTATCTATCTATATCTATCTATCTATCTATCTACCTATCTATCTTCTTATCTTATCTTATCTAATCTAATCTTATCTAATCTAATCTAATCTATCTATCAATTTATCTTTCTATCTTTCTATCTTTCTGCAGTTCAACAGCCACAAAGTACTGCACCTGCCACGAAATCTGCACTTCAAGGTCCACAAAGTACTGCACCTGCCACGAAATCTGCACTTCAAGGTCCACAAAGTCTTGCGCCTGCCAAAAAATCTGCACTCCAAGCGCCACAAAGTACTACACCTGCCACGAAATCTGCACTTCAAGGCCCACAAAAAGTCCTGCGCCTGCCACAAACTCTGCACTCCAAGGCCCACAAAGTCCTGCACCGCAATGCACCCATTAGAAATAGACTGGTCCACCACATCTTTTTCCTGAAGAGATTCCCATCCAGGCACCTGCCGATGCTGCTACACCCATTCCAAACACTTCTCTGCTCTGAGCGCTCTGACAACGCCATGTAGGGCCTAACTTCGTTTGAACGCCGTGACTACTGCTACTGCTACCACTACTACTCCTACTACTCCTCCTCCTGCTGCTGCTGCGCTGCTGCTGGTGCTACTGCTACTACTACTACTACTACTACTACTACTACTACTACTACCCCAACCACCCTCAGTGGGCTAGAATATTTTTTTGGATTCCCTTTCTATTTTTTTATTGATCCCCGTTGAATATTTTTGTGATTCTACTTTTTTTTTGATCCCTTACCCCATAACTACTTGCCTATGACAGATGCCGGAGTGCTAACGTGCAGTGCAAGGTGGCCAAGTTCTTCAGTGAGTTGGGCGAGACTGGGTGCCTTGGTGAGGATGTAGCTGTTTTGGAGCCACCGTGGTTCTACGGAGCTGGAAGTTTTCTTGATCTAAGGAACGCCTTGTGGCCCCCGACGGGGAAGTAGTGACCCTGCTCAGAGTCGCCTCAGCCCGTGTGGCCCGACCGACCTGAAAAGGTCGGACGCAGTGCTTCTGTTCGAAAAAGTGGCAGTGGTGTTGGCAGAACAATGCTAGTAACTATTCCACTTCGGGATTCACCACGTTCTTCACAACCAAGGGGCCTTTGGAGTCTGAGTGTGTTTCTTCAGTGATTTTCCGACTCCATTGTCGCTTGCCTCGGCCACTCAGATGTCGGACTTTGACACCGGCCCATTGGTGAAGCAGAAGCAGGAGAGACGGAAGAACCTCCGCCAGGGACAGCGACATGTGAGGCCCGGCATCAAAGGAGTGCATGATGCGGATGGTGATTTGAGAGGTATCCCGGCAAGTGCATTGCTACTAGTTGCAAATAGCTACTAGTAGCTTCTACTAGTAGCTACTAGTAGTAATGCCCTTGTTACTAGTAGCTTCTATTCCAAATAGTTCCCTGTAATTAATGACTAAAGGCTTCCCAAACATTGCGTCTCGGCATTGAGAAACAGCATGTTCTGTGTTGTTCCACGTGCTCGAGGTTGGCTGAAGGCCAGAGCACCCCACTCTAGTTCAGTTCAACTTTCAGCCATTTCCAGCCCATAATATGCGATGAGATCTATAAAGTATGGTGCTGCATTTTTTGCACAGGGAGACCGTCACGGCCAACACGGTCAGAGCTTCCGTCCAAAGGAGGCACAGATTGGACTCATGGACATCATTGAAGACAAAGGATGCCATCAAAAGGGATCAAAAGATCAACTTGGTGAACAGTTCTTGGTCAATTCAGAGTCCTACCAGAGCATTGGACATTTGCAACGCGGGTGTATGTGTAAATTAGACTGACACTTTTCATGGTCCTGGATCCACCTATTCAGCAGCTCGCAGGGATACTGAGGAGGATGAGGCGCAGTTTGGGCCTTGCCTTGTTTTGTCCAAAATTGAAGCGGACGGGGCAACATACACCCGGGACAATTAACATGGAACCTGAAAATGGACCTTTGGAAGACTAGCTTCCTCCACAAACCAGTGGTTTTCAGGTGCCATGTTGATTTTCCAGGGAGTATTAACCTTAAGTTGTGGGTCAAGTGGACTGTGCAGCCAAGATAAGCAGTATACACGAGCTGCGGAACCAGTTGTGTTCCTTGTTTACCTGTGTATGCTGTAGAAGGTGGAGGTGGGGTCAACAAAATGATAAAGTGAACACCGGAATAGCGGACCTCGTGAAGGCCCAATGGTCCTGGAAGCAAACAATGTAGAAACCTACCTCAAATAATCTGGATCCAGGAATGTCATCTCCAAGACAAATCTCTTCATGAAGAGGGAATTGGGGAGGAATGAGGAACGGTGTCAAATGTTTACAAGGGACAAAGGCCTTTTGAATGTGGACAGGACGTGTTTTGTTGGCCCAGCAGTAGAAACCAAATTCATTGGGGGCTACGGATACGGATAGGGTCTTTATTGGGGAGCCCCTGTGTGAGCTTGAAAGCATTTGAAAGCAACAACTGTTTGATAGGCGACTCTGAACAATTCTATGGGAATCTGGGTGATTTTGTGGGATTTGATCTGAGGTTATAGGCGAAGAACGGTCGAGCACAATCAGGTCCTGTTGAAATGAATTAGGGTTTGAGAAGAGGGAGGAAGTTTTGGGGGTTGTGGTGCACTGTTCACCGCTGTTCAAGGCGGTTAGGAGCCGGACCAAACTATGGAACAGGGTTTCTAAATCCTGCCACAATGTCTCAGTTGTTTAGCATGGTGTAAACGCTGGGTAAGTGAAGGGGCCTGCAGTGTGCACATCTACTGCACCCTTGAGGGTGGTTTGGGCATGGGTGGTAAGTGCATCGCGAGAGCGCTTGTTGACAGTAATTACATTTCGGGGGTGCAGAGTTCCGGAGAGGCCTCTGAACCTACATGGCGCCGACGTCCAAGCCAAGCTGTCCGCAAGACTCCCGGACGCATGGGGTGTCAGGTCTCCGCGTCGTGGTTTGCTCCACTCAACGCCTTGCAGTTCCCCATCACGCGAATTCTTGGACTTCCTTTTCAGCATTACACCCGTTTGGGCAATATGGGGGCACATGGACATATCACGTTCTACGTGTTCTATGTTCTTTCATGTGCGTACATCGATAATATACTATTCTTATGATGTGCATATACAATATATTGTAATATATATATGTTTGTGTGTGTTTTACTTTGTATATCACCAATGAATTTGCTTTGATGCCCGACGGCGAACCGAAGCCCTTCCGCAAAGGAGTCAGGCGGGGGACCCCCGAGCCAGTGCCCAGCGCTTCTCCGCCGCGAAGCTTGTCCGGGGCCCTGGGTGGGCGTTTTACAAGGATGGAGCAAGTCGAGAGATAGGGTAGAATGAGGATTATGCAATACACAGTGCACGTGCAAACAGAGCACCATAGGGGGCATCCTTTGGAATAAACAGACCTGGACCATTGGAGCCCAAGAAAGTCTTACTGTGACATGATAGAGTTGGCTGGCTTATTGTGCAAAACATGGGCACTCTGCAAGAATGCTTGGGTCAGTGCATCGCAAAAATCCAACGCTGCTGCTTGTGGAAGACAATGCCAAGGGTAAAAAGAAAGTTTGTTTCGAAGATTGGATAGCTAGTTCATCGACATCACCAACAGCCAAACCTAGAAAACACACCCTCATTGCTGTGCTCCATCCCACAAGAAGGACAGCAAAATAGCCATGTCCCCCCATAATCATTCAGTCATTTGAGTTGCTTTCCTATAGCGGAGCGGTGAAATTTCCTCCCGGTTGCCGATCTTTGAGTTGTGTGTTTTTCTGTGCCAGGCAGCTCAGGAGCGCAGAGAAAGTCTACAGAAGAGGCGTGAAGTGTTCGACAAGAACTGCGCGAGTCATTTTCTTATTGAGTCTTATTGACGTACATGTGCGCGCCAGAAAGAAATGAACAACATATTTGCCACTTAGTGCATCCTTCCCCTGCCACAAGATAGACCCGTGTCAGGATTCGTGAAATGAAGCAGCCCGACTCTGAATGCGGCACCCAGTAGTATCTTTTTTCTTTTTAATCCACATCTGTGGATGGAAGGCAAACGTGACCTTAAAGGACCATGCGGCCATGCGGCACCATTCAATTCCAATCATGCAAATGATCTGAAAGCAAGGAAGATCAAGGAAGTACGTTCAGGTTTGGCTGTTCAAGTAGTGCATCGTAGTCTATACTGCTCTTGTTTTGCTCTTCTCAGTCTCATTACAGGGGGCTAGTCGTTTTTGGGGGGCCGACCCTCGGCCAAACCGAAGCCATCCATCCATGGGAGTGGACCGCTTCGTGGACCGCTTCTTGAAATTGGTGGATCGAAGAGTCATGGACTCGGAGATCGGACCCGGGAGACCCAACGAAGAGTGTCGATATGGGTGGGGGTTTTGACCTGATCTATTGGGGTCCTATGGTCCTATAGGGATTGGGAGACGGATTTTTAGGCGGCGTAGGGATCCCCAGAACAAAGCGACAGCTTGGTGATGTTTTTGGGTGCTGGGTGCAGAAGGATGAGGACCCATAGGCCGTCAGGATGAAGCCTCCTCGGACACTTCCGACTGCTTACTATGTGCGGTTACAGCACGACGGGTGTCGAAGCCAGGCATCAAGAAGTCAATCCACCAACCGTGACCAGCCATGTCATCCCCAAGCTTTGGACAGAGTTTGGTTGTTTCAGGAGTGATTGTTACGCCACCATTGGGCCTCCCATTACTGTACCAGAGCGAGTTGCACGATTGCGTCCCCACTCGAGCCAGCCCGGTGCAGATATGGTTTGGGAGCCAAAGGTTTAAGAATCGACCCATTCTTCAATCGAAACTTTCTACATGCCCCCTACCCAGACAGGATTAAGAAGCCAATGTCAATGAAGAGTTTCTTGGCCTCCTTTCTCCCCCAACCTAGCTGGGGCAGATTTAAGATTGGTGCTCGTCTATACTTGCATATTTGCAGAGCAGAACATGATTGGCCAATGGCACATGCATGACATACTTTTGGTGAAGAAGCAGGTGTAAGAAGCTCTTGAAGGTTGGAGGCCATCGCTACTAGGGTGGAGGCCATCGCTATTCGGGTGGAGTGCTATTAGGTAGTATTTCAATTGAAGTCCGAAGAGCTGAGTTTGACTTGACCACGCAGAACCCAGGTTGCTCTTGGCATCCCCAGGTTGCACCAGCGGGTTGCGCCTGTTGAGAAGTGCAGGTAACGACTTGTGAGACCCACGTAGGTTCTATTCTCAGTGGGATTTCATGCTAACGACTTGGGCACTGAACAATCCTGAGCGGTGCCATGCCAGCTTCGAGGTGATGCTGTGTAGTAATTCTCATATGTGAGTGAGTGGACACCAACGAAGCTGGCAATTTCATGGAGTTCCATCCTTCGAGCCACTCAAGTTACGTGCGGCTGTCAAAATGGTACCCAGATCGAGTTGTCAATTTTGAGAAAGAAAGGAGCAGAAAGGGCTGAAAAGCCCTTGTGTAATAGACAAACCGACTCGGGACTAGAATGTGGATTTTATGTGTGCTACTCAAGGCTGGAAGGTCTCAAGTTGCCACACTTGGCTTCCAAATGATGGATTCAATGAACCAACACAGGAAATCTAAACAAGAAGAGTGGCAGGAAAAGATGACAAACATATCCCTATTCTCATTGCCGAGGGTCTTGCACAATCATCTCTCAATGGCTGACCAAGAATGCACCTGGGACAGGGGTTGTTTGAGAGGCTTTTCCAACAATTTGAGGGGGACAGCTGCATTCCAAAGGACAAGATTTGGAAATTGCAAGCCTTTCACACTGCCATGGGCATGCAAACACCAGAGCCTCATGCACAGACAGTCGTGTGGAAAAGAGCAATGGCTTGACGCAGGCGCTTTGATTTTCTGCAGAGTGGTTCCACCATCTTCCACCAGTGTTGGTCGACGCGGTTTAATAGTTAACCAAGTAGTCAACCAACAAGATGTACTCAAGATGTGTAGTCTTGTGGTTGTCTTGGACTCTTATTGATGGGGACTGTCTTTCAAGGGCGCCAGATGGCGCCAGCATCATCCAACGGAGCCATTGCAACTGCACTTGGATGCACTTAGGGGCACGATGCCATTCGATAGAACCTTTGGGATCGATGAATGTCTCATGATTGACTCCCGATATGGACTATCTCTGAAGTTCTCAGATATGGAGTGCCTTGTGCAAAATGAGCCCACATATAGCCCCTGGCAACAGAGGGTCGCTGTCAAGTTGCTTTCCATATCTTCCCATGTTTGCCAGGACAAAGAGGGTACAGAGATGGCACGATGGGTGCGGAAAGCTTCACTCATCACGGTGCGCCAATTCAGAGAACTTACAGTAGTATTGACTTATAGACCGAACTGTAACCAAAGGATATCGAGCTTGCGGCTGGCCTCACCAGTGGCGTCTTGGCACGAATGCCTTTGGCCGTTGATGTCAGGTGGTTTTTCAGAACACTGTGCGGCACTTAAACACCATTTGTGCCCACTATGGATTGAATCGCCAGCCCTTGTGGCAGCTCGCGAGCGGCTTGATGCCGACGTTGATCACCCAGGCCTTGGCGCTGTGCATGCGCTACTCACGGCTGCCACGGGAGGCGCCGTGGAAGGGGTTGCCATCGCTGCAGCTGGAGGTTTCCCTGATGAAGTTCTTTCCAAGAGAGGGTGCAGAACGGCGTATCGTGAGGCATTGGCTGAGATACACTTGTCATTTCTGTATGTTCATCCGTCCCTCCGTCCCTCCCTCCCTCCCTCTGTCCGTCCGTCCGTCCATCCGTCCATGCATACAGACATACAGACCACTATATACACACACATATATATATATACACATTAATAATAGCACAACATAGCACAACATTACATTACATAGCATCACGTAGTACGTAACTATTGCACCACATACATGTATAATATAAATATATACACACCATTACGTAAGATTACAAACATGACAATACATTGCATAACAGTGACATTACACTACATACATACTGGTTGAGATCGGAGAAACAACAACAGTAACAAGAGTAGGCCTTGGCTATATCATTTTGTCTTTTTAATAATGAAGCAGATTTCTCCTCAATCAGAAAGGGCTAGAACCCAGGTTCAGTAGCTTTTTGAGACTATTTCTGCAGCCCAAGCCAGGAAAGGCTGGGCGGTCGGCACTGGTAGTTCAAGCACTTTTGGTGGCCATGACACCTTGAGCATAGCCACTGCGTTGCTGCTACTGAAGGAGGATTGGTTGACTGGTCGGTGAGCCCATAATACGTTACCAGCAGTCACTCAGTGTCAGTGCCGAGTTGACCATCCAGAAGGAATCATTTTGTCTTACGCCGGAGGGCTCCAATGAGCTCTACTTGGTCAGCACAGCAGTGCCGGACACCTGAAACTCCGGAAATCTTCAACAACCCCTGCACGAATTACTGGGCAGACACATTAGAGGATGCAAGGCAAGTAGTCAAGTTGAGACCACCTGCTTAGTTGGTGGCTTTGAGGCGCGTTGATCTCAAAGCATGTGCCCCCTTTTTTTGTTTGGCGCATTTCAGGTTAAGTGGAGAGGCCATGAAGATCCTTGTCTCGCTGGTTCTTGTGATGACCTCAGGCATCCTCAGGCACTTTCACGTCTTACACTGAGTGAGCCCCCCTGTATTTTTCGCCTGCACTTTGCCCGTCAACAAGACGAGAACATCCTGGGGCTTAGGGCAGGTGCTCAAGATTGACGTGCTCATTGCGGATCCGCATGTCTTCAATACTCAACAGCTTGTGGTCAAATCCTTTGCATTCCACTTCAATGTCGCGGCTTTCGCCAAGGCGAGCTTCTCATACAGCCCCCGTGAGGTTCGAGCCTTGACATCAAGGGTTGTTTCCGAGAAACTGTAAACCAGACAGTCCAACTCTAGAGCGAGAAGGGAGCTCAGAAGCGTGTGAGAACGGATTTGATGGCGTCTAAAGGGTGGCGGCAGAGTAGATTTTGATAGATTTTGTAACTTAGAGTGCAGCAAGTCTATCCTGTATTTTGTTGTTTTCTTGCTATAAAGCTTTTGGGTTTTGACGTGTCTTAACTTTCCCATTCTTCTCCGCAACTCGTGATTTGCTCTTGCTTTGGTAAACGGCCAGTCAAAATTAATTAATTCGCCTCAGTATAGCGGATATTCTTGACTAGTTACTTGATGATATGTTTTCCTCCTGCAGTATGGGACTTTTCTTATCACAGCCTAGTTATTCGGCCCTTTCACCTCAAGATGTTGAATCATGATGCGGCCCTTCTTAAAGTGAATCACTGCACACGAGAAGGACAGACATCAGGGCATGTCTTTACACATGTTCATATCAATTCCAACCCACCAGCCAAGTAACTTTGTTTGAACAATTTTTAGTGGCCCAGTCTTCGCCGCTCATCGCTGCTCAAAAGGTTTACTGTAGTTGTTCAGCACTGCTCGCACGGAAATGGACAGGAATCCGAGAAGCGCACAGGCATTGTTTTTGACCGTAATCTGCGTATGAAGAACAAACATGAGCCAGCAACACACTTGACGCCACTATATAATCCAGCTGCCCGCTTCGGGCCAACTACACCTCAATTAGAATCAACCTTTTAGCTAGACTCAAGTCAACCTTTGGCTCACTGGGCGCATCACACTCGGGTAGTCATGGTTTTTGTGCACCTGGACGCACGTAACGCCCCTTGGATGCAATGTGAACACGGTTTTCACTTGGCTTATAGCTGGCTGCCAGGCCGTAAGCCTGAGACCATCGTTACCTGATTTGAGATGCCAATCCTTGACCAGATTGCGTGCAGTCCATATTTTATGAGCTTCCTGCTTCCTAATTACTCACTTTGGGGCCTGCGCTTGCAGTCCTGCTTGTTAAGCATGTTCCAACATGGCCGTAGAGTCAGCCGCGGATCGAATTACCAAGTGTGGGACGGTCAATTATCACGCCGTTTTAAATCTATATTACGTAGTAAACGGCTTCCAGGTGTGAAAACTGATCGCCCACGGCCCCAGTTCTCCCAATGTAGGATTCTGGGGGTAAGGGTTGACATGAGTTTGTGCTTCAAGAAGCGGAACTTTTGTTTGGCCAGTGCGTCACAAACGGGGTGTTGCATTGAAAAGTAATTGAAAAGCAATTTCCAACCAAAGAAGCCATTTTATGAAGGTTTTCCATATACTCGTGCAAGATATACAGGCAGAGGTTGAACAGATCAGTGTTTTTCACATTTTTGCTAGGTAATTGAAACGTGATTTTCAACCTAAAGAAACCATCTTACATATACTCGTGCAAGATAAGCAGAGGTTGAACAGATCAGCGTTTTTCACATTTTTGCCCTGCGCTGCCCTGTAGGGCCAATGCCAAGTCAGAATTGTAGATGGAAACATGTGGAAATGTTGATCGTTGAACATTGCTGGTTGCCCAGACTGCATCAGTTTCCCGTGCGGCACGTGCTCACAGGTGCTTTTGCCGGTCTTGCGGAAGGCGCCGGTCTTCGCTGGTCAACGTCGGCGGGTCTTCGCTGGTCGACGTTGCGCCCTGAAGTGTCTCAGAGAGTCGGAGCCTTAGGATACCCTAACATCTATGGCCTATGGGCCCATGGTGCCTATATGCGCCTATTGGGCCTATGGTTTATGGGCTTGTACAACATCCAGGTATCTCTGACCTAATTATCATGACCAATCGATTTGGGCAATGCTTGCACCTCCATCAGGTTCCCAACTTCCCAACACTACAATGATTCCTACTGCAACCGCTAAAGCCCACCACAACCTACGACTATGACCGGATATTTCAAAGCTGTCAGCCATGTGGTCCAAGAGAGCCTGTACCGCCTTTACCTGTTACCATTTGTTACCCCTTCACCCGGTCGAAGCACTCAGTAGCCCTCCTGTGGATTCCGCTGAGTGCCAGGAGTGCGACTAGTAACAGTATCCTGGCAGCATCAGAGAGGGCTGCTGCAAATGCACCAATTTCAGAACGGGACCATTCATCGATATGAATCGGACTGTTTAGAGCAAATAGATGTACCTAGTATTAGTATGTATTAATCATGGCCTTTTGTTTTTGTGCCAACGCGTCCGAAGTACCGTTCACTCAGATAGGCAGCTAGGCAGAACTTGAAGCTCCACTTCAAATACAGGGAGGCCACTAGGAGGTTTAGGTTCCTGGGCGCCATTCTGAGCAAAGAGCCAAAGAGCAGATTGGTTTCATGCATCGCTTTGCATCGCTGAAGCACGCAGCTCCAAGGGACCAATGAAGGACATCAACTCATGGTCTTTGACGTTCAAGCAGCCAACTGTGGAGGAGCAAGGACCTTGGAATTATATATAGATCTCGTCCATCGATTACGGCGAGATGTAACTCCCAGCCCTCGTTTACGGGTTGACGTATTTGATACACTGCTAGGCTTCAGACACTCGTGATGCCGTGATGCCATTGCCATGCAATGTTGTGCAAGCATGGAGCATTAGCACACACACACACACTGCATGTTTTGTTCTCGTGCTGCAATGGCAACCTATCGACTGACACTAACCATGTGTTTCGGAAAGCCCCAAGCGCCGTGCAGGTCATTCTTGGCATCTCGAAGGGCTGGCTTGATCAGAGCAATCTTTTGGTCATGCTTGGTGCCACTTAGTGGCACTGGAGATCACCCGTTTGCATGCTCAACGAACCTACCTCCAGGCTTCTGCAACCCAGGGGTTCAATGTGTCGGAAACGAAAACTCAATACTGTATCTTCAAGGGAAGGATTTGCATGACTTGCAGGCTGCAGGGCTCGGAATATCTTAATTCTAGGCTCTCAGCAGATCGACAACTGATGCTTGCGGCTAGCGGCTAGCGGATCCAAACTGACTGCTGGGATCTTTCTATCAAAGGTTGAGGAGGAGTTGTTAAGTTGTTGTGTGCATGGCCAGGGCACCTCCTGGCTAGAGAGCAAGAGCAAGCTGTCACCGCTTGCTGGGCGGGCATGGTTTTCTACACGTTCAACTATATATATAGATTAAGAAGCCCTCAGGGTTTATTCAAGAGCAGAAAATCTGCAGCTGTAGCTGGCTTTTTGGATTCACAGAAGCTCGCTTCTCGCTTATCACAACAAGCAAGGCAAGGTTTGAGGGCTTGATGTTGTTTGGTCGTGTTTGGCGGTCAAACCTCAGCACGTGCACGTAATGAAGTGAGCTGCCCGTCAAGACCGGCCTGGTGACATGGATTTCCCTCGTGAGCTTTTTGAATCTTTTTGAGTGCGTACTTCAAACAACAGGTAAGGACGCTACTAGGGGCTCCTGGCATCGCTACTAGGAGCAAGGACGCTACTAGGAGTTCTTCACATGCCCCATCGATGCTTCAGGTTTGTTCTGTTTGGAGTGTCCTTCTGTGGAAGCCGTTTTTCCTTCTCTAAGGCTAGTTCCTTTGACGCTGGTGAATGTCTATTACGTCTTGATCTCCTTCATGGAGGGACACCTCGACATAGAAGGCCTTCGGCTTTGATTTCTTTGGCTTTCTCCCGCACTTAGCCGCTTTCTTTTCTGGGCCATGTTGGAGTAGATGCTCCCATTTGAGTCCAATAGCATCAGACGTGGTCCATTAGTGCCTGCACTGATGAGGGGGTTCTGTGTGATGATTGAACCTCGGCAGGCTTGCGCAGTGTAGCCCTTCATAGGGCAGTTGTTGGCAGCTGTTTCACGCTGTTCTTCATGCTGATTGACGCTTGCCTGGTGCAGATGATCGCACCGGTTAATTTTCAGTCATTGGATGAGTCCATGCTTCCTTGATTTCTCAGTGCCTTTTGACAATGGATTGGTCCAGTAGTGACTGGCTACCGCTGCCCTGCCCTGCTGATACCTCCTGTTCGCAAGCACCAATCTTGCAAGTGACCAATTTCCCTTAAGCCTTGGGGTTTGGTCCCACAGCCTTTGGCTGAACTGTTGAGGCTGGAGGCTGGGGGAGCCACAGCATTGGTCAGAATCGTCAATGTGGGCAATCCGAGCGGAGGGTGCTCAACCACAAAGGAATCATATGGAATCTACATGACCAGGATGGACCAGGTCCTTTACATTGAATGATCCAGAGTCTCCCTCAGCCAAGGTGATTCTCACCTGCCGGTCCTCCTCAGACTGCTTCAGCTTGCAGACCCGCAAGTTAGAGGCCTTGGTCTCTTGGTGTTTGGTGATCTTTATGCCTGTGACTTGGATGAAGTGGGGCATGCATTCTGTTGGGCAAGTAGCCTGGTAGCCTGGTAAGGGCTAGGGCTACCTCGAGCCTGCTTTGCCAAGCAAAGGGGTAGCTTGAACAGCCTGCTCGGGACCAAATATTGATATATCAATTCTATTGAACCCCCCCTCCAATGTGATGAATAATTGATTGATCAATTACTTTGGTGACCCCAGCACCACTAGCATTACCTGCCACAGCATGACGTCCATTCACTGGGCAGCAACAGCAGTGCCCCTACAATGAGGTTGCGACGCAGTGCGTGCACACCTGCGGTCTTTACAAAGCACGTGCAGCTTTGGAACCACAGCTCTTACACATGCCAGCGTTTACACGCGGCAACTTTTACGCAAGCCAGCGTTTACACACCATATTGCTTTAGCGTTGACGAAACACAGCTTCCACGAAACCCCGTGTTGACGAACCTCACCACACCACATACTGTAGAAACCTCTCCTCGCAACCTAAGCCACTCGTATGCGCAGCGAGCGCGTGACATACGACCGCACTTGCGCAGCACAGTTTTGCACCAGGCAGTTCTTACACACCGCAGCTCTCACATACACCAGTGTTGACAAACCCGGACAAACCTCCACGTGCGCCACACCACACCACATTTTGTACGTAGCAACC